GTACCACTACTCTCTCATTATTGGTCCTGAGGGGTTTATCTGTCCTGGACTCTCTGTGTATCCATCTCTTATTTGTACCAGTATACATGCTCTGGTCTAGCCAGATATGTAAGGTAGAATTGGGATCTTGATAGTAGGGGGGGAAGAAGGATTAAAGAACTAGAGGAAAGTTTTATATTTCATAGGTGCTACACTGCACCCTGACTGGCTCATCTCTTCTTTGTGACCTTTCTGTAAGGGGATATCCAATTGCCTACAGATGGGCTTTGTGTCTCCACTCTGCACTCCCCCTCATTCACAATGATATGATTTTGTGGGGCGGGGTCTTTGATGCCTGATCCCTGATACCACTGATAGCACATGATCACACAGACTGGTGTGCTTCTTCCATGTGGGCTTTGTTGCTTCTGAGCTAGATGGCTGCTTGTTTGTTTTCAAGCCTTTAAGACCCCAGATGCTATTATCTTTTAATAGCCGGGCACCATCAGCTTTGTTCACCACATTTGCTTATGCACCTGCTTTGTCTTCAGCGATCATGTTGGGAAGGTGAACATCATGGATTATTAGCAGATTTTTGCAGCTGGTTCTCCTTACCCTAAGTCATTCTGCATCAGCAAATGAGAATCCCGAAGACTCCACTCCCACAGGCTTTCCCTGACTTGCAACACCAGAGTCAGCTTCTCCTCAGTCACATTTTGAGTGTTCTCTGATCCAAGGGGCCCAAGCTGCAGCACGATTTCCAATTAACGTCTTGCTTCTATTCATTAGGCCCTCAGTATCTGACAATGTTTCTAAGTTACACACAAGGTTTTCAACAGCTACTTCCTCTGAAGTGGGAAGCCGAGTCCTTCTTTCTTGTCTGTTCTCAATCTGGATGCTCCGCTGAACCCTGTTCACTTTGGGTGACCTGCTGGCATTTGAAATATCAATGACATAGCTTCCAGCAACACAGCAACACGCAGTTCGACAAACTAATAAACAAGTGGTAGAAATTTAGTTGATATGCACTCTGAAAAGGCATATCAATTGGAGTTCTTCCCTATCAGTTATTAAAAACCAATTGCCCCAGACCATGATTCAATTTCTCCAGGAACCTACTGTAGTTTGGCTAAGTACTTGCATCCTGCTGTTGCCCATCGTTGTAGTTGAGTTGTTCTCAACCCATGACGACTCCATACACCGTGGAACAAAAGACTGGCTAGCCCTGTGTCGTTCCCATGATCGTTTCAGATCAGCTGCCTTTTGAAAGTATATTGCCTAGTCATCTCAGTTTGGAAGAAAACCTGAAACCTGTTCAGCACACAAGTTTCCCCTGACATACGGGTGGTGGTTCTACATCAGGTAAATACCAAACCCCGGTCTCCCACAGGGAAGGCAAGTATTAACCACTGCACCACTACTGTGCCCACTTCCACCCTACCAATTGTTAAATATGTTGAACACCAATCCTGATAGCAATTACTGCTTGGGACTGTCAAGGACCTCAAAATGGCTGCAGTTATAAAGCATTAAGTCATTTCCGACTCATAGTGACCATGTAGAACAAAGTAGAACTGCTCCATTGAGTTTCCAAGGCTGTAAATCTTTACAGAAGCCCAAGGCCACCTTTTCCTCCCAGAGTGTGACTGATAATTTCCAAGTGGCGATCTTTAGAATAGCACCATGCACCTCACCATTGCGCCACCAGGACTCCATTGCTCCAGTTACACCAGGTGCTTAGGAGCCCTGGAATCCTAGTTACATCGTGCTCCACATAAATATTATAAATAGGTGGCTTTAATAAACAGAATTGTATTCTCTTACTGGCTAGGAGGCTAAAATTCAGTGGTTTTCAGTATTTTCAGAGTAACCATCACTACTAATTCCAGGACATTTCTATCAGTGCCCCTCAAAGAAACATCAAACAGAAGAGTGACAGACTGATGCAATGGCTGCAACCATGGGCACCAACATACCAACAACTGTGAACTGGCACAACCCGGGGCAATGTCTGGGTAATGTCTCCTTCTGTGGTGCACGCCGTTGCCATGAGTTGGAGTGGATGCCAAGGGATTAACAACAACAAATAAATTAAATGCATGTAAAACATTTAGTATGCATAGAGATGTGGGTCAAATCCATTGTATCTATACCTATATATAATCTCATTTCATCCTCACAATAACCAATTTTCTGTTAAAAAGACGGCAGAACTGGCGAGGACCATGACTCAAAGTTCATAAACAATAGGTCAGTCATCTGGTCTCAAGCACAAAGACCATTTATTTTATAAGCAGAAAACCCAGGAAGAGTGTTTTTTAAAGTTCTGCTCAAAACTCTATAATCAAGTCTCTGTATTCCCATAGCAATTTGTATCTCTACAGCATTTGGGGTAATCTGATTAGAGTGTAAATTGGTTGGGTCCATTTCACCTTAATGGCAATTACCATTCACGTAGCCCTCCTTGAAGCTGGGCCTCACCTACTTTGCAGGTGTTATCAGGAGAGCTCAGTCCCTG